ACTAATTTACACTCCTACTAACAGTGTAAAAGTGTTCCTATTTCTCCACATCCTTTCCAGCATCTGTTATTTCCTGACTTTTTAATGTTCACCATTCTAAACGGCATGAGATGGTATCTCAATGTAGTTTTGATTTGCATTCCTCTAATGAGCAGTAATGATGAGCCTTTTTTATATGTTTGTTGGCTGCACAAATGTCTTCTTTTGAGAAGTGTCTGTTCATATCCTTCGCCCACTTTGTAATGGGGTTGTTTGTTTTTTTCTTGTAAATTTGTTTAAGTTCTTTGTAGATTACAGATATTAGCCCTTTGTCAGATGGATAGATTGCAAAAATTTTTCTTCCATTCATGAAATCTGTGTTTTTAGGGAGGTCAAAGCAATATAGGTTTGTTGTTTGCTTTCTATTTTACACAGATATCACCTTCTCCCACTGTTATGATCTGATTTTCACAGTCACATCTATTTATGCTTAAGAATCTTTCTATGTTGTCTTCTCTCATCAGATGCATAATCAGTTCTTCTCTTCAATGATTTTAGTTGCCAGTTTTCAGAAGTTTCCTTGCATTCTTTTCTCTTTTCCTCAAACTGTCTTTTCACATTGACCAACTCTCTTTCGAGTTTATCTTTTACTGCTTTTCTATGTTCTATTTTCTTTTACCTATTAAGATAGGCAAAAGGTGTTTTGCCTACAATGGTTACTAATTCCTGTGCAAAATCCATTTCTCAGATATGTTTCTCTTCCGGAGCTTTTGAGCAAATGAATCTTTTACGAAGCAGAATACTTCAGATGCCTTATCTCATCTTCCACTTTCTCTCCCCCTCTCTCTCTTAGTCATCTTTGAATGAAGAGAGGTACAGTCAGTGGTTTGGTTTGGTTTGGTTTGGTTTGCCCATCATGGTGTTTGTTGGTAGAATCAGGCTCTTTGATCTTAAGCTGGCAGGCAATGGGATATGGGCAACTTTTACATAAATCTCTAGTTTCCAGCAAGATCCTTCTATTTCATTTGCCTTTGTTGGACAGATGCTGAATTAACTACCTTCTCCTCCCACTGCTTGATATTCTTGATGTAAATTATTTAATTCCTGAATGGCTTGAAGGACTCTGAAGCTCTTATTTTCAGAAGTAGGAAACAGAGACTCCCTGGAGGGTAGTTGTACCACCCAGACCCTTCTCCACGTCTGCCTGTGAGGAACCGCATGTCCTAAGATGCAAGGTAAGCCCCTTCTGCCTGGGAAGAAGAGGGACCGGTAGGACTGCAGGGAGCGGGGAGGTGTTGATGGGGATGCAGCAGCTGATGTACAGGCACTGCTGAAGAAGAGGTGGTGACTGTGGGGCAGGTGGCCTCTCCCTGCCTGTCCAGCCCTGAATCAGCTTCTGAGGTCCGGGAATCAATAGATCCTAGATAATTTCTCAATTCAACCCATTCACAATGATCAGGAAGAATGTCTTTAAAAACTGCAAAATCATTAATTAGAGATCTTGGTTTCTAGTGCAGGTGTAATTATTTGTGTGCTTGAATTTATTTGGCTGTGCCTCTTCTGTGGCTCCTCTGCTTCCCGAGAACAAGTTCACACTTTCCTGGAGAAGCCAAGAATCCTGAGTGGAAGAATGATGTAAAGTCCCCCAACAGTCCATGAGGATCCAGGGGACTGACTCACACCACAGGTCTCATGTGATGGGTCTTGTTTGAAGAGGCCCCAGAGCCCATCCCTGCCACATCTCCTCCAGCAGCCCAACCACACTTGGCTACTTGGAATTGCCCGATCACAAAATGCTCCTCTTGATTTTGTGTCTTTGGACAGTCTATGTCCTTCATTTGGAATTCATTCGACTGTTCCTGCCCCAAGGTGGCATTGGCCACAGAGGCCTTCCCTGAGGATCCCCTGCTAAGGTTCTCCTCAAACACCTGTAGAGAGCACACGCCACTTGAATTTCTCCCCCAGGTCATATGTTGATGGACTAGCCCCCAAAGTGATGGCATCAGGAGGTTGGCCCTTTGGGAGGCTCAAAAATGACCAACAGGCTTGTTTACAACAGAGTGTGAGAGTATGATGACAGGCGACCATCATCCTCCTGGTCACGAATGAGTGCAGTGTATATAAAAACGGAGTCCTTTATAATACTTATTAAAGCTTAGAGAGCTTTTCCAAATTCATCCAAATTGTGCTTATATTATCTGAGACTCTGTGCCGTGCAGTTAATTCCTAATCAACAGTAAGTGAGGGGTGATCTGATATTAGTCTCACCCCCATCTCTACCAGAGAGATTCCAACTTAGTTCAACAAACGATTCAGTTCATTCAAACAAACCTGCCTTCTGGGTTACATCATTTGAGTTCTTAGTATAAATTGCCATTATCCCTAAAACAACAGTGCAGATTTTAAAAGTACTTAAAGAATGATCATTACAGAAAAATTACTACCTCTCCAAGAAAGGAAAATAAGCTTAGCTCACTAGACCTGTTTAAAATGAGCGAGTTTGATTCACTTTTCCTGCTCTTTGGGACTGTGATTCTGCTTCACTGATTAATTTGAAGGGGATCGATAAAATATATCTGATTCTAAGGCCATTTATTTTTGAATATAAAACTTTATAACAAGATTGATTGATGTAATATAACAATTTTATAATAGATTTATACATTATATATTTTATATATAGTACATACATATATTTGTAAATGCATACTTTTATAATATATTTGCAATATAAATTAGCTATAATATATAAATTTATCAATTCATAATAGGATATGAAAAATTAATAGTAATTTTTAGGAATGACAGCATACATGAACATTTACGTGTGAGTGTCTTAATAAAGTTGTAATTTCTCATTAACTACAGTAAAATTAAAACCATTTACCTGAATTTTTAACTTACTTGGAGCTTACCCTACCTTCCACCTTTACTTGCCCCCCTCATCCCAGTTCTCTGTTAAGCAGTTTGTAGCACGTAAATAACCCCTTATATGCTTTCTTTGGCCTAAGAGACATTAGGTATGTGCATTCCAAAGTTGGGTAAATTCTAAGAATTCTGAAATTTATCAAAAAAGTAAAATTTTCATGAAGCAACTCAGAAACTACCATCTCAAAACAAATACATTTGATTATTATTAAATTACCTTTGGTGTCAGGTACCTTTCTCCCCATAACATAATTAAAATTTTAAGTGTTATATTCACATATGATCCATAAATTTAAAAAAAAAAAGCAGAGAAGAGAAAATCTAAGCTTTGTTGAATAGTAGACTAGGTTAGAATGAAAGGCTATTCTGCTATTTATCATGTTTATAAGAAATATTATTTTATTTTGTTCTTAAAAATAGATCCATTAATGGATACTCCATTCTCTAGCATGCGCTTATCTCACACTGCGTGCCTGTGGTCAAAACATCTCACGTACCCCACAAATACATGCACCTACTATGTACCCACAAAAAATTGTAAAAATAACTTGTAAAAGTTTAAAAAATAGATTCATCCAAAAATCAAAAGAAGGTAAAATCAATACAAACATGTTTCTAATGAAGTATTGCATATTTGCCACACAATAGTAAGTAAACGATGTCCCTAAGGTGGAAAATCCATGAGAGGTGACCATAAGCTTCTCCAACTAAACAGATATTTAGCACATTTGTATATGGATTTCCTATGAAGAAGGTGAAGGAACGGTGGAAAACGTCTGTATTATACTCAGGGGTGAACTGAGAGAAGGAAAGTTCACACAAAGACTTTGTAGGAACAGGTGAGCTCATTTCACCATTTTTAAAACTACATTTGCTGATTATTTTCATGACAGTTATGGCCAACGCATTAGGAAATTAAAATATTACCTTTTCATATACCAAAAGAACCTTCCAAAGTCATGTCATCCTCATATAACACATGCCACTGAATCATCGTTTATCATCATTAAATCAAATAGGAAACATGATCATGTTAGTGTAAAATGTTTATAAATGTGTGCATGTACCATGCTCACTCAGACTTCAATTAATCCCTAATGTGTAATTACAAGGACAAGTTGCAGTCAGAAATCATTTAGGCCTATGAGAAACACAAATAGTTTAGTTGTTCTTCCTGACTTATTACTAAACAAGATTCATAGCAAATTGGAATAAATGTGTAGGCAAACAGAGAACAAAATAAATATATCTCCTAACCCATCACTGCATTATCCACAAGAACATCTTATTACTAAACTTTAGAGACACACATTGAGACAAGCTTGGGAGGTAGGAAATTACAGAAAGGTAATGTAATTCTGAAGCCATAACATATTCCATAATGGAAGGTGTTGCACGACGATTTTGGCACGGGTGGCATTTGCTTTCATAAAATGATCCACATGTTAAGGTGATTTTAAAAATCAATTTAAAAATTCATAAGATGATTATATTCCCCTGTTACTATGTAGGTTTATTACACAATCTTTCATCCAGGCATTGCTTCATGGGAGTCTGTTCCAGGACAAATGTTCTTTCAGGTCACTAGACTCCAAAGATAGAATAAAATCCATCTTTCAAACAGGGCATTTTATAGTCCATCTCACTATCACCACAATGTGAAGGCAAAATTCAGAGATCACACATGTTCCTGTGTCCTACAGACCAGCAAACGTTATTCCTTGCACCTCGCCACAGACAAGCAACATTTTTTAAAGAGTAGGCTGATCAATTAGTGCCCCTATTAAGAGCTATCAGCAGGAAACCTGGTCCAATCCTAAAAATAGAGCACTGCAAGTACAATTCTGTGAAAACCCCTTCAGCCATCTCTTCATTTTAACATCAGATCTCTTATCCACCCACCCCAGAAAAAAACAGTGGATAAGCTATCCAAGACTCATTTTTTAAAAAAAGCTTCATGCTTGTGAAAAGAAATTATCTTTTACCAAGATAATTGTTTCATTAAAAAGACAAGTATAGTTTTCATATCTAAAACTAATCTGTGATTGAAGCAAAAATGAAAAGCACATTGTCAATGTTATTTGGGCACCAACCTGGGATGGGCTGAGGTGCTAACACCACTGTGGGGAGTGGCCTGGAGGGAGGACCCGGCCTGGACAGAGACACAGCGACTTGATTTGCCAGCAAATGAGGCTTTTCATGCCCATGGAACAATCTTGACTCCTCAGGATGTATCCACGTTGAGTCCAGAGCAAAGGAATTATTAAAAAAGATCTGTCCAAAAATAATGCAAGCATAACATTTAAGGCAAGGTACATGATAAAAGCTGAACATGACTATGAAAATATTTATGTTGCCTTACGTTGATCCAGCATTGAACATTCTGTTATTGGGGACTCTATAAAAACATCATTCTAAAACTTAAAGGAAGTTCCACAGGGCTTCAATACCAATCACCATCTAGTTAATGTCTTCTGGGCTGGCCTTCAGCTATTGACTTGGTTACTTCAGCACAGCAGTCAGTTCACTGATTGAAGAATCACCCCATGAGATAATTACTAAGCTGTACAACAAGTCAATAATTTACTTCTTTAGTTTCCTTGTGAACAAAATGTAGTCAGTAAATTTGAATCCAAAAGCCAAAACAAACCATTAGAAAGATGAAAACTTAAAGCATCATATGAAGAAAAACTGACTTTTAAAACTTGAACTGGTATTGTGTAATGTTTAAGTCTAGATCTTGGATCAATGGTTACAAATTTTAAAACAAAAAAAAATTTTAAAAAGACTCTGATTCAAAAATTGGAAATTTTACATTGCCCTGTGGAATCCAAATATCCTAAACTAAAACAAAATGCCCCCTGCCTGCTGACATTTTTGAACAGATCAATCTAAGCCTGAAATGATTTCTTTGTATACCTAGATGGCCAATTTATGGCAACGAGAAAATACATGGATATTTTTGTTGTTATGGCGATGTTCAACAATTTAATCATTAAAAACCCCTTATCCAATTAAATCACTTGCATTTTTACCTTACAGTTAGGAATCCTTTTATCTATCCAACTTTTCCCAATAGGAGTTGCAAGAGCAGAAGGGCAGAGATGTGGGAAGATGGGCACCAGCTCCACTGTGGAAGAGGGGGGCAGTCCAAGGGACGGAGAATGGCCACCAAACAGCCACTGCAAGCCAAGCAAGAAAAGACAATTGCATTAGCCTGAATCCATCCACTCAACTTCACACCAAAACATTCTGGAATAACTGCTTTGAAAAGGGAATTTCAAAATGTATGTATTTGATTATCAGATAAACTTCCTCGAGGAAAACTATAAATATTTACCAATCAAAGGAAAAATTATAGTTTTCATATCTGAATCATCACAAAGCATTACCAACATTACATTCTTCAATACTGAAAAAGAACTTCTAAGCACAAAACCTCAAGCACAAGGTAAGAAATGGGTTTCTGCTCTGAGATCATGAGAAACCACCATGAAAAAGAGAAATGCTGGGTGTTCCCTTTCTAATTCTTAAATTATTTTTATAGGCAGGCATAGGGCTATATTATTCCTTTCAGTATTGCGTTTTGTATTAATTACATATGTCGTTTTACAAACAACTAATACTTTCAAAATGAAAATATCTAAGAAGTTAAGATTCTAAGTTTCACCAATACAAGGTTCACCAATACAAACAGATTCTATGGAAAAAAAAAAAAAAAAAAAAAACTAAGCATCTCATGACTTGAAGATCTCAATGCACAGAATAAAACATCAGTCATGGAAAGGGGCTGGTAATTCAGGACACCGTCTCTCTAATTAAAATAACTGAGACCTCATAAGGCACTAATAAAATGCATTGCTCAATGACATGGAACGTTTCAGTACCTATTGTTTTAAAATCATAAAAGCATTTGTGATGTTCCTGTTATGTGAAAATGTTCTTCTGGTTCTACATATTCTTACTTTACAGAAGATGGGTAGCACAAAAATATTTAAAATATTAATACTAAGGTTTTTTAAAATTTTCTCTTAAATTTATACAAGTGAAAAAATGCAGTTTTTTAAAACAGAATTTTTAAAAATGTAGTTCCTTGACATTATATACCTCTAGTGGCAGCATTCTGATACAACACCCCTCCAAAATACGGCAAAAACTACCAACGTTTATTGAAAATTCTCCAAAATAAACTGCATCACACATAAAAACACAATATCCAGGGCTGCATATGTGATGTATCATTAAGTCTAAAGACCAATTTAGCAGGAGTTTAACAACATCTTTTAGAAAAACTTACAAGATAATATTGGAATTAAATTAATCAAATGGTGTATTCTAACATAACACTCATTTGAATATGCTAATGAGGTCAATCCTTGGAATAAAATGCACGCTATTCCCTGATTTTAAATGCATCTGCATAGTTAGCTGACAATGAATCTTGCCCAAACCAGCCCGCCTAGCTCTGCTGCACCATTTATCAAAGGTTCAGTCACTTTTTCTTTTTAATTCCATGTCTTAAAAGCCAAACTCTTCTAAAGTGCAGTGTGGCATTAACGAATGCGGTGGACTCCGGCAGGCCTGGGCAGGGGAATCTCCGGTAATACCTCTCAGTACCGAAGGCAGGATTTCCCAGCCACTTCCACCGGCTGGAATTCTCTCAAGCATTGCCCTGAGTCTATTTCCAAACGAAAGGGGGAAAAAATCCAACCCAGATTAGAATCCGAAACAGCTATTGATTTCCAGCTTGCTTTCAAGTCTGGCAGAGACAGTGAAAGTCCTAACTTCTCCGCGATGTCAGCCACGGCCCGCGGCGGCCACGGAGCCACTTCAGCACCGCGCGGTGGACAGCGACCCCCGGCCTGGCGCGAGTTCCCTGCGGTCCCCACGCGGGCCTGGGCGGCGGGTCCCTCCACGGCTCCGTCCAGACACCCGGAGGCACCTGCCAAAGCTGCGGAGGTGGACAGCCGGGCGTCCAAGCACGAACTTTCTCGCCGAGGCACGGCTGCCGGGCTGCGTCCTGAGGTTTGGGGCGGCGAGGACCGCCGGGGAGGAGGGCGCGCGAGCCGGAGGCCAGAGCCGGGCCGGGCAGGGCGCGCCCAGGAGCGGGGGAGCCGGCGATTCGGGCCGAGGCGGGACGGGGACACGTTACCTGCCCGTGGAGCGCGGGGAAGGGGTGCGCGGCGGCGGCGGCGGGGTCTGGCGCAGAGGGCAGCGGCAGCAGCGGGAGCACCGGCTCGCTCGGGGCCGGCCAGCCGGGGAGACCGGGGAGCAGCGCGGCCGCGGGCGGCGGGGCCGAGGCGAGCAGCACCGGGGGAACCGCGACCCCCGCGCTGAGCCGGAGCAGCCCGGCCGAGCCCGGCACCATCCAGACCCAGGGTGGCGGCGGCGGCGGCTCTGCGTCCATGGGCCAGAGGAGAGGCTGCCGCCGCCGGGGCTGCTGCTGTTGCAGCTGCCGCCGCCGCCGCTGGAACCTGGCGCCCGCCTGCATTCTACATCCCCGCGCGGGCGGCGGCGGCGGCGGGGGCGGCGGGCGCCCGAGATGCGGGGCCGGCGGCGGCGCGGGCTCCGGAGCGAACTCACTTGGCTCCACTGCGCGGCCGCTCGCTCCGCCCCTGCCCCGCGCGGGGAGCTCCTCCTCCTCCCGCCCGCGCCGCCGCCGCCCCCGGACCCGGCCCCCGCCCCGGTCCCCGCCCGCCCGCGCCCCTCCCCGCCAGCCCCAGCCCCGCCCGCGCGCTCCCTGGTCCTGGCCCGGGTCTCCTCCCCACTGCGCCCCCTGGACCCGCGCGGCCGCGGAGGACGTGGGTGGGCGAGGGCCGAGGGCGCGCCCGGCTGGGCTCCCGCCAGTGCCGCCCCCCTGGTGGCCTCTGGCCCTCGGGGACCCAGCGCACCGCCAGGGAGACTCTGGGCTCCGCACTCAAGGGCAAGAGGAAGCCGGGGTGGCGGCGTCGGAGCCAGGCATGTCCCGCTGCCCGGGTGGGGCTGAGGGCGCAGATGGGGACAGCGCGGGCCGCTCTCTACCTGGCCTCCTCGGAGTCCAGGGCGCGGGACCAGGGGGGTACTGGGCTGCAGATCCCGGCGCAGGCGGCCCGGACGCTGCTAGGCGCTGGCGGATTTCTGCTGCACAAATCGGCCAAATACGTTCTTAAGGCTCCCGCGGGTCCCCTGGTCCAGAGGTTGAGCCGTGGGTGCCTGGTCTAAAGTTCCGCGCCCCACAGTGGCCCGCTGGCCTCGGCAGCTCCTGCCCTACGCCCTCCAAGGCACCGGGCAGGTGGCCCCAGGGCCTTTGCCCAGGACACTCCGAGGGTGGGGCAGGACCACCCCTCTATGAATTTGTCCTGGATGCCCCCAGGCACAGTCTGTGCTCCTCCCACCCCCAGCACACGCAGCCTCTGACGCTGCACGCCGAACTTCCTGGGACCCAGGACAGACCCGGGCTCCGAGGACCCTCGCTCCGCCCGGAGCACACGCGGCAGCGCCGGCCGAACCGAGCTTGGGTCAGCGCAGCGCTGGCCACGCGCAGCCACCGCCAGACGGCGCTCGCCCTTCCCCGCCGTAGACCCTGCTTCGGAGGCCGCCAGCGTCCTCCCCATCCCGGGCCACAGCTTCAGTCCAGCCCCTGGCGATGCGCGCTGAGAGCTGGGCAGAGACTTCCGTGCGCTGTAAACCCCTTAGGTCGCTAAACCCAGGAAACCCAAGCACAGCTAATGCCAGCGCGAGACCAGTGCTTGTTAGAGGCATTGAAGGGGCTTTCGGGATGCAAAAGGCAGCATTATGATCCGTGCATTTAAGAACCTGCATGAAAAACCCTCCCTGACCTGGGTGGGAGAGCAGGCACCCACCCACCTACCGGCACAGACACGCCTGGTACTCCAAACACGTGTTCACATCACCTCCCACCTGTCCACTGCCAACCTCCTGAGATGGACTAAAGCACCCCGGTGCTTTTAATTTGCATCTAGGGTTGTTTCCTCATTATCCTGATTTGCTTAATTTCCTCTTGGCCTGGCATGATTTCTTTTAGATCTGGGCATATGCTGATTTACATAGCTGGCGCCTCCATATTTTCCTCCACAAAAACCAGTTTTCAATTAGCAAGTTTATCTGTCTCTTTGATGCAAAAGTACTGGCATTTTTTTATTCACCTAAAATCAGAAAGCTCTGCAGATTAGAAGGCTGTTACTATTCACTTACACCCTTAATTTATGTGCATATATTAGTATGTGCTCGTGTGTTATAAATGTGTCAGTTTAATGGTCAGAGCCAGATCAGGATATTGGGGAGGCGTCTCTAGGCAGGCTCACATGCCCCCGCCACCCACCTGCCCCACCGCATGGTCCGTTTTGAACAGGAGATTCTCCTCCCTTCTGCATTGTTTGGAGGCAGAGACAGAAGGCCAGGGGTGCTGGTGCCTGGCTTGCATGCCGTTCTCTGCAAAAGCAGAGCTTCGTGTGTGGCCCCCAGGCTCCTGGGAAGATAGGGTGAGCCACAATCTGTGGGAGCTGAAGCACTCCTTTAGGGAATCCCAGCTCCATCCCCACTGTCCTAGAAAGGGTTCTGCTGAAGTCAGTTTTTGCCAGTGCACCTCCCAGGCTTGCTGATGCTCTGAGCTCAGGACCCCTTGAACCACTGCTTGGCTCTGAAGAAGAGGTGGAAAGTCAGAAGCAACTCGACTCAACCACAAAGCAGCCTAAACTCTTTCGCTGTTTCCTGCCACAAGCTTGACTCTCCTTTTGTATGACAATGCTTGGAAGCCCTTTTCTGTACCATTCTGTGTACTCAATTACAGGAAAACAGCCCTGGACAATGCAGACATGACCATTTCCACTAATCATTGCTAGGGCCAAGGACCCAGCACAGGGCTTCTCCCCCTCCTCCTGGCTCTCATTTCCATCAGCTTCATTTCGGGGTTTGCCTCTCATCCCATTTAACCTAGGAACCTTCTACATCCTCATGGGTAGGAGACGCTCCCTCATAGACACACTCATTTCAATGATTGTTTAGGAGGACTCCCTCCATGAACTGGTTTTGCAAAGGTCGTTTGTACATCTTGAGAGTGGTTGAAAGAGCAAAGGCAGAGAAGATGCAAAGAAGACGGCTGTCACACAAACAAGCAGGATGCCACCTTCTTCCTGGGGACTGGAAGCCAGGTGAATGTCTAGCTTTGAGCTGAGACACTCTGCCCGAGAGAGGTGTGCTGGCAGGCACATCTGCCTCCCTGTGAGTGCCCCCGGAGGTCAGCCCTAAGCAGGACAGGTGGCTGGCACCCCACACACTCCCCTTTGTCTCCCTGTAAAAATCATGAGAAATTTGCTTTATAAGGCATCTTATATACAGTCTAGTCTCCAGCTTTCCTATCCAATAAAAACAACCTTAAGTCTTTCCACGTTATTTGGGCAAAGCCAGCAGAAATTTCCTGCTAAGCTGAGACAGGATATCACCTAGGAAGAGGAGATTCGCAGCAGGGAAAATGTGTGAATTACCTACATGTGCTAATGAGTTCCCGATTGTTTATTACCTTTCAGGAAAAAATCATGTGGAAGGTTTCAGAGGCATCAGTGGAATAAGATTTTGAAGCCCATAGAAGGTTTCTTTTCTTTTTTTTTTTTTTTTTTGGAAGTTATTTTATTTTGTTTTTCTAAGTAAACCCTAATAGAATTCCAAAATGGGAGAGATGAAAACATTTTCTTCCAGGCCGGCAGAGTTAAAGTAAACACCAGGGGAACAGGAGGGAGGTCAAGGCCCCGCATATCACCTCCGCTGTTCCCTGCACCGCCCACCGCCCACGCTGCCAGAACTTCTTTCCAAAGCAAGTGCCATTCAGACCCACTCCTTTCTGAACACTTGCCAGCGGCGCGATGATGAGGCCCTGAAAGAAAGCCGTGCCAGCGAGGACCCAGAGAAGGAACCGGCAGTGTGACACCTGACTCAGTGCAGGTTGAGGAGGAGAAGGGTGGGAGAGTGGCTCCCCTGTTCTGTGAGACTGGGGAGAGCCTGGGGAGTCTGAGAGACTAGGGATGAGGAGCCCTTAGGGATGGATGCACTGTGGGCCAAGAGGCTGGCGAAGATGTGCTGACCTGGAGGGCTCCAAGGTCACCTGGAAAGACGTATCCTCTTCCCAGTTGAAAACTTCAGCCTGGAATTCAGGAGCAAGGTCTTGGATGGAGCCACAGAACTGAAATTAACACAAAAATTGAGAGTGGCAGCTGTCCGTAGTGATTGTGATCAAAGATGTGGATGGGATCGCCCAAGGCAAGCACAAAGTGGGAAGAGGAAAGGCCACTCGTGGAGTCAAGTGATGGGAAGTGAGGCTCCCAGTGAAAGAGAGAGAGAGGGACACGCAAGGCACACTGGGCCCGCAGGCCTCCCGGGCAGGCAGGAGCACGCTTGCCTGATAAAGGCTGTTATTATTGTTATTTTTGTTATCAGTGTGTTACTGTAGGATATCTGGAAAATACTGCAGAGCACTATGAGTCAGAACCCCTCAGGGAGAAGCAGTGCTAACCTTTTGGTGACCTCTCTACAATCATTTTTTCTCCTCACTTCTCTCTCTCTCTAATGTGTTTACGTGTGTGTGTGTGTGTGTGTAGTATGAATAATATATTGCATCTTGTAATACAGTATTACATTTTATATTAAATTGCATTTTATAATAAATAGCTTTAATGCAGCCTGTACTATAAATAACCTTAAATCTTATTTTTCACTCAGTATCACAGCATAAGCATTTCCCCACATTTTTTAAAAATCTTAGAACAACCCACTTATCAATACCAGAGCAAATACCCCACTGAGGACAGATGGAGGTTCAGGTCAGGCCCTGTTGTGTGAATTCGCACCCACTGTCAGGGTGCGGGATCGCACCCATGTCAGTGGGCCGCGTGTGAATCCACACCCACTGTCAGGTCGGGGCCCTGCGTGTGAATCCACACCCACTGTCAGTCGCCTGGGGCCCACTGGTCGTGTGGAATCGCACCTGCCCCTGTCCAGGTCGGGGCCCTGCGTGTGAATCCACCACTGTCAGGGGGCCTGCGTGTGACCACCACTGTCATCGGTTTCTGGCAACTTTCAAAGGACCACGCGTGTGAAAAGAGCCACCCAGTAGCTGGTGAAGAGCAGGCACTTAGTGCACATCGCTCCCCTCAAGCCTTCACCGAGGCGGATGAGTAGCTTGTGGCCTGTTTGTTTAAACAGTGTGTACCTGTGTTCAGAATTGAGAGACAGGGACCCCCACATGGAGTCAGGCAGGTAACAGGCAGCTGCTGAGAGCCCCTTGCCTGTTTGGCCTGCCCTTCTGCCTACCTGATTTGTACCCTCAGGATCCTGGAACTCCCCAGCCTCCACACACTCACTGGTTTCCTTCCAGGACAGCTACAGGCCTGGAGCCGGGAGCTCCCTGGCCTCGCATGCTGCCTACAGGTCCCCTTTGGCTGTGTGTCTTCATAAGGGTCTTTATGTTTAGAAAAGCATGTTCCCTGGCCCTCAGGAATCCCTTCCTCTGAAGCAGCTCTCCGGCCTTTCTGGGGCCTAGCACGTGTGTGCACAGAGTAACCCATGTTGGCTGAGGGACCGTGA